ATAGGCAACATCATAATAGATAGAAAAAAGACTGGCCTTTTCAAGTATTTCACCTAGATTGGACCCAAAGTCAGCACCTGTGGTACCAGCAGTTAGGAGCTCTGGAAAAACGGATCTTGAGGGAAATCTGCTGTCAGTGATCTCTCCAAAGTCCTGAAAAGTAATGTCAGTTTAAAGGCTAAGGTGAGCCTGATTCAAGCCAGTCTTTCCAATCATCTGTAATGTATCTGAGAGCTGACAATGAATAAGGACGACAGAAGAAGAATCAATGCATTTGACTTGTGGTATTGGCAGAGTGCTGAATTGCCCATTAACTGCCAAAACAACAAACAGACACATCTCAGAGAAAGTACAACCAGAATGTTCCTTGGAGGAAAAGATGGTGAAGATTTTTCTCAAATATTTTGGACATGTTTGGAGCAGCTATTCCTTGGGAAGGGACATCTTGATTGGAAAGGTGGAGGGTCAGTAAAGGAAAGGAAGACCCTCAATGAGATGAACTGATACAGTGTCTGTGAATTTAAGTGTATCAAAAATTATAAGGATGGTGTAGCATAGGACAGAGTTCAGATCTATTGTTCATAGAGTTGCTATGAGTCATACTTAACGACACTTAATAGCAAAACAACATGAGTCATAGGCAACTTGACAGAATCTAACAACAAAAAGGCAGGCTCATGAGAGTGTATTAACTGATCAGACACACATTATGGTGGTTTATATGTTGCTATGCCATCAGTATTTCAAATACCAGCAAGGCCATTCAGGATAGGTTTCAGACGAGCTTCTGGATTAAGACTAGGAAGAAAGGCCTGGCAATCTACTTCTAAAAATTGACTCACAAAAACTCTGTAGATCCAAACTGTTGCTCATTGGGTCCCTATTAGTTGTAGTAAACTCCACAGCATCTAACATCAACAACACAGTGTACAAACTACTCTTAATGGAAGGACTGTTTCACTTTACTTTCATTCACCTAATTCCCTTTAATGGAGAAGAATGAAGTTGGGGAAGGAATCACACCCTGGGAGTCAGCATTGGCTTTTTCCTCCAGACATTTCCAGTAAGACATGAGAAGACTGAGTTAACAATACTGACTACCAGGACCTTGGGGGAGGTGGGGGTTGGAAATACACACTCATAAAATTGGTTTTCCCAAAATGTTCATTTGTTGCATTTCTTAACTGACAACCTCGTTATGTGCCATCGAGTCACCTATGACTCACAGTGGCCCTATATACAACAGCTCTAAATCCTGCCCTATCCTGAGCCAGTCTCTCTGGCTCCAACATACCTATCCCCATTACCCCAGTTACTATGTCAGTTCATCCAGTCTTCCTCTCCACTGGTCCCTCCTGGCCACATATTCAAAGCATGTGAGCTTCAAAATCCTTTCCTCCAAGAAGAAATTTGGTTTCACCCTCTCTAATACAGGCCTCGTTGTTCTCTTGATAGTCTGTGTTCAATACTCCTCTGCAGCATCACAGCTCGAAGGCATCAATTCTTCTGTGTCATCCTTATTGTCCAGCTCTCTGATGCATGGCAAAGTAATTGTGAAGACTATAACCACTTTTTTCTTTACCTTTTATGATTTTGAAGGTGAACTTGGGTGCCCAGTGGTAAGAAGTTGCACTGCAAAGCCAACAGCAGGTAGTTCAAATCCAACAACTGATCTGTGAGAGAGAGATGGGCAATCTTCTCCTATGTGATTTAGAGCCTCTGAAAATCTGCAGGAGGGTTCCAACTTTAGGGCACATAACAACAACATTGTAAAGGCTAAGCTGTACAAAAATCTAGGGAAGAAAATGTGTTTCATACATTCTATTTATATGCTGTGACAAAGATACGTAGGAATGGTATTGTTTACTACAAACCACTAGCTTTTCCTCAAACTTTGGATAATTATCTTAAGCTTTTTAAATACAAATATGTGTGTGTGTATGTGTGTGTGTCTTATAACAAAGACATTTACAAATAAAAGGACCAATTTCCTGAAGATAATGAGGAAGCAAAAAGAGGAATGAGGATTGAAATCAACGTCATTAATCAAAATGAGCATAAATTGTTGTGTAGAAAACCAATTTGCTCTGAAAATTCTCACCCAAATTGCAATAACAAGTTTTAAAATGTGATAAATGTCCATGCAAGGCATCTGACTGAGTGAAAGGAAGATATATTTTCCATAAATGTATTCTATTTTGCTGATGAGAAATTTGTTTGGGGTGGGGAGGAAATGGTAAATATCCAAACATGATTAAAAACAATGGCAGGAAAGAACTTAATGCAGGATTTAGTAGTGCCCTTGCCACTTACTGCCACGGCCTCTGGGAACTCACTGGAGGGTCGTCTTATGGGTTGGTTCTAACTTGATGACACTCAATAACACTATTTTGATGAATGAGCTCTGGGGGGTCAATGGTGAGGAGCTTGATGCCAACCTGAAGGCATCTGGTTTGAATCTACTAGGCGCTCCATGGGAGAAAGATGGGCACTGCCGTGATTTACTGCCCCTGAACACCTGCTAGAGAAGTAGTTTATGGACGAGTCAGCTCGGACCTGAAGGCACAAGAGTAGGCGTTGATGACTGGGCTTGGTACGCTTGAATACATTTCACTTTTAAAACACAATCTTTTCATATTGCTCTTCCTTTCACCCATTCCATTGCAGTGTTCCTTGTCTTATCCATTCTTTGCCAAGCACTACAAAGGGAATTGGGAAGGGAGGACAACGTGCATGTATGAATGAAAGCCAAGCTCTTAGTGAACCTTCACTTTAAAAAACAAGGTGAAAAAAAATAAATTTAAAAACACAACTCAATCCTATGGCATGGACAATACTGTTATAACCAATGCACAAATGCAATTCAGTCATTTGCTCCAGGTTACTCTTAGACTGGATTTGAACTGAGACAACCTGGCCTTCCAAGTCCCACTACCACCACAGTACAGCATAATAATAGAGAAAACACATTATCATACATGTAGCTACTAACAGGGGTTTTCAAAGTGTGCTTGTCTGCTTGTCTTTCTAAAAAGAATCATTATTTGAAGCAGAGTGGAAAAAATATTTTATTAATAGAGCCCCAGAAGGATTATTCCAAATCTATGTCCCAACACTATACTAGTTTATAAGTAAAACCTAAGGTATTGTGTCTCCCTCTTTTGAAATTGATTGCAAAAGAAGATTTCCACCAAGAAAATAATTTTGAAGTGTTTTAATGCACAAAAAGAACATCCAAGAAACAGAAGAGGGAGTGATTAGTAATGAGGAAGCACTATATAAAGGAGGCTTCTCCCAACTCAGTAACAGGAATACAGCGTAAACAGACATCAAAGGATGTGAACCCTTTAGGATTAAGTGCAAACCCTAAAGTTAGATACAACATTCATATATGGCTTATTATCTGGTAGCAAGAATATTTTCATAACCATGTATATTGACATTGATACTTAATGGTAAGATGCTTTTGACTCAAAAGTTAAAAGAAACACCAAAGAGGTAGTTTTTCCAATGCAAGATGGGGGTGGGGAAATTGCTTTATGTTGCTTTTATTTTTTCCCCCAAAAAATCTGCAACCATTTTCATTTGAATCAGATGGGAAGATAATTCTCCTTTCTAAACTAAGAAGCCAATTCACAACCCTCATGAGAAACTGTTCCCTCGTGAACAAAATGTTTTTGAACTGATCCCAAGAGTTGGCTGGGGAGCCTCCGTGTTGAAGGCTTCGTGATGTTGAATAAGAAACAAATCTGAGTCAGCAAAAACCTGCTAAGATCTGACAAGCAACTGGAGGGACCCAAACCGTTATCTCCTTAAATTCTACCTACAGTTTCATGATGGGAACGTCTACAGTGCTGTAAGAATGTTGATAGATACCCTATATTCCTTTCAAGGGATTGTTTTCAATGAAACAAACAAAAAAAAAAATTCAGAAACAAAAATGAAGCCAAAAAATTCCCCAGGGACCAATGAAACTGTATGATGAGTCTTACAAGGTACTGCAGGTAATCCCTTATACTGTTTCAACTGTATTTCATAAAGTCAGCACATTTTAAGACTAAGAGAGTATGGGCTTGGGGCTGGTGGGTGTCATGTGCTATCTACAGGGGAAGACAGAGAGCATGGAAAGTCTGCAGATATTCAAGCTCTTCAACACTGGTCATTTAACTATATGTACAAACTAGCTTATCCTAGCCTTTACAATAAGAAACATGCCCACCCACCCATATTCCCCCCCCCCAAAAAAGAAAAGATTCAAGGGGAAACCAAATATTTGTCAATGAACAAAACTACAACCGTCATTTATTGGACAAGGGTTAGGCACCACTAGAAACAACGTGATCAATATAACCAGAGCTGACTTGTTACACATCAGAAGGCATAAATACACAGTAAATAAGAGGTTTAGAAGTAGCCCCAGCAGAGCATGTACATATACAGGCTGCCATGAAACTGAGCAGGGAGAAAGCAGTTTCCTCACCCAACAACAGTTTTGCAGGTGAGAGATGCTGAGAGCATGTGGTTAACACCAAGCAGGGACCCGCAGGCATCTCTCCTCTGAAAACGCGCCAGGTGAGAAAGTGAAGGTCCCACGTGGGGCAGATTGTCAGCTGTACACCCTCCTGCCCTTGGATCTGTGGACTGGTCCTTTTGCTGATGCTGGTCTGCAGCCTCATGCCTCCTGCCTGCCCAGGTGTGGGTGTCAGAGAGGCAGATGCTCTCAGAAGACAAGGGACCCAGTCACTGGCTGTGGGCGGATGTGGGACCCCACTGACTCCAGTCACCAGCTCCTCCTGCCTCTGCGGTCTCCAGCTCCAAGCCGACATATAAATAAGGCAGGGCCCTCACTGTGGCTGCTCCCTTGGCCACCGGGGGAGCAGAGCCTGCAGGAGGCCGTGCAACGACTGTTCACACCAGTGTTGGAACGGAGAGCAGCTCTGTGCACTGCTGCAAAAACAAACCCCCCTCCCACCCCGGGCCCAGCACGTGTGTCTGTCAGTCTACTGGGTCGCTCTGTCTGTGGTGAGGAAGATGCTGTGCTGCTCCTGGGCCCTTGCGATCAGCTTCTTCTTCTTCTTCTTGTTCTTGTTGTTCTTGTTATTCTTATTGTTCTTGTTGTTCTTGTTCTTGTTTTTATTCTTGTTCTTGTTCTTATTCTTGTTCTTGTTCTTGTTATTCTTGTTGTTGTTGTTCTTTTCTTTTGAGGTTCTCTTCCCTACAGGAGGGGTGAAAAGGAAAAAAAATGAGATCTCAGAATGAGCTCTTTCTCTTGTGAAAGAAAACACAAAACACGAGGTGTTTTACACAAACCCATCTGGAAAGCATCACCTATGGTGGAGGGGAAAAAAAAAATAACCTGCCTCAAAGAGAAAATTGTTCACATTAATTTTGAAGGAATAATAATAATTTACTAAATTGGATGTGCTGTCTAAAAACAGAGACTGATCTTCCTGTTCCAGGGAACTGGCATATTTGAAAACCTCCCAGCGGTCCCATCAGTCCTGCAAATATCATCCTGCCACAAAAAATCCCCTTTACCCCCTCTTACTTTTTAACAATGCTACCCTTTACTACACATCCTTACATCTTTCTACTGCTCCACATGTCAGGGGGTCAAAAGAAAATAAGCATCTATCTACAGTAAATATACCAGAAGTTTCAAAGCCCCCTCTCGCTACCCCACGGGGGGAATTAGAGTCTGCTTTTAACACGATTCCCTCTGTGTTCTCCAAAGGCCAATATACAAAATGACATATGTGCGATACTTCTTCATTTTATTGGCGAATTCATGAGGACATCATGTATCATATGGCTTAAGGCTTCTCAGACAAATTCCTTGCACAAGTTGTTTTTATTAATTCCAAGCAAAGAAACGGCTTGCCTGTTTTGATGAGCTGGTGGTATGTGCTTTCCTAAACATTCACACCACACTTTCCTATTTTGCCTTTTTGCTACAGTCACTAGGAAGTCCAGACTCAGAAATAAAATCATTGAGGATTTCCTTCCTCAGGGACCTGGAGATGCCAATGCCCCTTCACTTTTGATGTTGGGTCACCTTCGCCTCCTTGAAATGATGGTTTCTAATCTTATTTTATATGGCTTCAATGTTCTTTGCAGGGATATAGCAGGGAGATTCTGAGGAAAAAAGACTCAAGAACTCAAATCTTTTGTTGTTCAGGCCTGTTCTCTCTAGCTTTTAAATTTCTAGGTTCTGGGATTTTAGAACTGAAATGGGCTTCAAGAAATGGGCACTTTAAGAGGTCATTCACCACCAACAACCTTTAGTTCAGACTCAACTGAAAAGCCTCCCTTGCTGGCCTCTCTTACTCTCCCCCTTGTTTGAATTCTAACTTTAGGGTGTAGTTCTAGAAAACAGAAGGAACTCTAACTTTAGGGTGTAGTTCTAGAAAACAGAAGGAACTTTGGTAGGAAGCATAGTTTCTAGTGTGTCTCACTGCTAACCAAACGACACACCTCCAGCAGTTCAAATCCACCAGAAGCTCCATGGGAGAAAGATGGGCAGTCTTCAACTGTTATGACTGACAGCCTTTGAAATCCAATACCTCATCATGACAGGTCAGAATCAACTTGATGGTAGGGTGCTGAGTTGAACTGTTGTTCTAGAAAACTTAGGGTCACCTCAGCCTGTGAGGCCTAGTTATTGGACACCTCAGCAATCAGCACCACAGTGGAACATTCCCATCTAATCCACGTCTCGCATTCTCCCCACACCTGCAAACCCAGTATCCTTGGTCCTTTCCGTCTATGGACATAGCTCTTCATCTTGGGCAATGAAGAAGGTGGTTGACATAAAGATACGAAGTCAGTTGGAAACTGATGCCTTAGAGTAATAGACTGAGAAAGGTCACAGATTTCTAAGTGTCTCTCATCCCTGTTCTTACTGACCAGAAAAAGTCCCTTTTGTTTAGGGATAGAAAGCTGCCTCACCTTTCACACCCTTAACACAGTGGTGGCCATAAAGTTGATATGCAATAAACATGTGCTGGGTAAAAAATCTTTATTACAAGAACAAATATGTAAAAAAAAAGAGTAACTTATTTTTAATATGACATGACATTAAAATAATGAGAACATGATCATGCCCTCATATTAAGTTATAAAGATCCTTGAAGTTAACTTCTGGTTCTCATTAAATTCTGGCACTAAAGTTATCATGGCATTTTGCCATCTTTAAACCTAGTTAATCCTACCCAGTGAAATCTTAGTGTAAGCCATCATTAATCAAAGCAGCTGTAAAGTTACAACTCTTGAGAAACAGTCTATCTGGTGAGGAGACACACCTGAACAAGGTCAGAGAGATGAAATACTTAGCACAAAATAGCACATTCAAAAAAAGGAGTTTTAGTTACAATGTTTTACAGACAAGTTTGGGGGGTTTTTTTAGTTCTGAAGGGTTTTTTTGTTTTTTTTGTTTTTCAAAGAATGAGTGCCCACTGTCTTTTCAAAACTCATCAGGTTTACATTTAATTTCTTTAAAACTTGGAATTGAAAAAGAAATTTAAACCAATTGACTGAAAAAATAAAGCTAGCATTACTAAATTTGAAAATGTTCTCTGCTGAAATAAAAACAAAACCGAAATTTACCAAGTAGGTATTTTTAAAAGTTTTGCTGATGTTCAATTTTCACACAAATTTGTGTAGCTGAAGTTTGAAGGTACATTGCTTTTCACTCACAGCAAATCCATGCTAAATGACTGGAGACTCTCATTTTTAAGAGAGGGTCAATTTGAAGTCATTTACCTAACACATGACGCTGATGTAATTGTCAATACTAAATGAGCTTTGGGTCTGCTGGTTGACATAATAGTGTGAAAGAGGCAAGTTACTCAATATTTTAATAGAACAATTTGTAAGGTGGCCAAAAATTCAGCAATGCTCCTAAAAATTTATTTGTTGAAAATAATTTTTCAAATTGTATCATTATGTCTTTGGCAGGATGCTATGCATCTCCAGGAAGAGATTGTTTGGGGGCCCTAAATTCTATGCTAAAGCTCCTCCTCAGAAGTCTCTTTGAATGAAGTCTCTATGCTATTGACTGTTAGTTGGTTTGTTTTTTTGCTCAGTCCCAGTTCTCAAGAAGGTTATACTGCAAATATCAGTGTTATGATGAGAATCCAACTTTCAACCATGAATAGGCTGAAGTTAACTGCAAATACTTTGTGGTCCTACTGGTTGTTCCAATCCGGAGTCTAATTCAAAGAATTAAAAATCCATACAAAATGCAAGACAAAGTCAGACATTTTCTTCTAAAGATTTTCAAACTTAACCAAAAAATCAAGTTAGCCAAAAATAGATCTCCCCATTCTCATGTGTACATTTGAAAATCAAGCTATATTGGGCATAGAGACATATGTATTTACATTTACATTTAAATCCCTGTATCTGTGGATATAAGATTGTTATTGGTATAGTGGTCATTGAGTTGATCAATTTTAACTGACTGAACCCTGTCTGTGCAATGCAGAAATGCTCAATAGAATTTTCAAGATTGACATTTTGAAAGTAGATGGCCAGGTCTCTCTGCTTAGGTGCCTCTGAAAATGTTTAAACAGCCTACCTCCCAAATAGCAGAAGAAGGTTTAACCATCTGCATCACCAGTGGACTTTCTGATGTAAAATTAAATGCAAAAGTTTTGTGAATTCCCTCATTCTCAAGCATATTTACACAGACAGGAAAAAAACGGAAAGACACGGACAATGCAAATAACCCAAAAGTAGTTCCACTTATGAGCTTAACATTCTTACTTTTTTAGTTCACAAGGAAAGGGTAAAATAGACTGCCCAAGAACAGCAGAAAGGAGTGTTCCATTTTAGACAGAAATTGTCAGCCTCAGGCATATTCCAGTTCAATGACACGTTATACATGTCTTTGAGTCTTTTAAGAATACAGTAAACTGAACAAATACTGCTGGATGCATCTCTTCTAGACCAAATGGGAATTGGTGTTGTGAGCAAAGCTTGTCACAGCTGTTAAATGGTTGCAAGAAGACTGACCTAAATAGTATATACCCATTTCTAGAAGGGAGACACTTCTGTCCTCTTTTACCAGAAGGCTATGCAATATTGTATGAAAAAGTTGTGCTCCCAGAGTTAAAGGAGATCAAATGATAGGAACAAGAGAAGATTATTATCCAAGTGAAAGAATTCAGAAAGACACTAACCAACAAGCCATACTCTAATCAACATAACTGCAGTGACTTCCATACATGTGCAGATTGTCCAAAAAGAAACCCTATCAGCTCTTTACAGATAAGGGAGTATTTCCACAGGAAATATTCCCAAAGCACCACCGTGTGTTGCTGTTATTCAAATGAGAAATAGAGAAGAGTATTTTGAACAAAGATATCAGGCTGAATCAAAAATTACATGACACTGTACTGTACTGACTCTCCTGCCAGACATTGTCTGGATAAGTCTTTTTGTAGGAACAAAGGTTTCTTATCCACCCAAGAGCAAGTTGGCTGTCAAGACCATCCTTGACAGAGGCTGTCAAGGATTACCATGATTACTATTTGTTTTGACAGTGTCTTTCTAAAGTTGGAATACAATGGAATAAAATGAAAGAAAAAAAGATTCAGTAGCTGCGATTACACAGATTTTTCTAAAGGTCCTAAGCCTTTTCTCAAGGCTAAGGAATAGGGTTATTACTCTTCAGTGAGCTTGTGACGCTGTGTCGCCTATGGCTTGGGAAGCCACACCACCAGTTTTTCTACTACTCTGTGTCCCACATGGGGAGAGGCAGGATTAGGTCAAGCTTGCAGAGTAGGAAAGAAAGGCTTGGTGATGTGGTTTTTAAAATAAGCCATTGAAAACATTATGGATCACAACAGAATACGATCTCACATGTTTTATTTGGACCCATCAGCAAGGATTCATCTCAAGAGGATTATGCAGCTGGTGCTGAGGACCAGCAAAGATGAGAGAGAGAAAGATTCTCATTGAAATGAGCTGTTATCAATCACAGTGGCCTTGAACATGCGGTAACTGTGAGAGTGAGGAAGGACCAGGCAACACTTTCTTCCTGAAGATGACTGGATGATGGGTGGCCAACAACAAGGAAAAG